ATGCTGGCAGCCGCCCACCTGCAAGTGCCAGAAACACGAGGAACCACCCACGCCCGAGGTGTTCCAGGCCTTCTGCGCCATGGACACAAGAGGGCGCCCCTCCGCGATCCTAAACCGCCTCTTGGACAGCACCGGCGCGATCCTGGGAGCCATCCAGGCCAGGATCCTGCTCGCCCTGTCCCTACGCTTACAGCGCGAACCGTGTGCCTGCCTGTGCCCACACGGGGACGCCGAGGGCATCGGCGACGTGATCGAGGCCATTCTTGGCTTGTGCGAGCCCTACCGACCGCGTGACAAGGTTTCGCGAGACCAGCTAGGCACACTGTTCGGGCTACAGGAGCGGCACTTCAGGGAAATGCACTCGGCGCTGTAGCTCCTGATTACTGCGGTGTCTCGCCTGGTCATGGTCGCCCACCATCGCCCCAGGGCCAAGGAGGCGGGCCGCCCCACAACCTGGAAGGACCCAGAGGCCTAGAGGCCGGGAGGTTCCGGCGACAGGCAACCCTTGCAATTATCGAGGGTACGGTGTCTACCGTCGACCTCTCGGCCCTGGCGGACCACGAGCGCGCGGCGCGCGCGCGCTCTACGTCGACGCGATCGGGTCCAACATCGGCCTCGCGGACGACCCATGCAAAGCAGGCGAGCAGCGTCGCCTGGATAGGCGGGGGGTTTTCATTTACGCACCTGCACCTGGGCGCGCCCGCTCCACCTCGGGCCCCGCCCAGGGGTGGCACTGCGGCCTCCTTGGATAGTCGAGCGCGACACCAGGTGGACGAAGGAACAGAACAAGGTCGATTTCTTCTGCCAAGGCTGCCTCCGCGGCCCCTTCAAGCACGACAAGGGCGCGTGCGTCAGCAAGCGGATCCGCCGGGCAATCGCGGTCAACAGGCTGACGGAATGCTACCAAGGAAGGGGCCTCACGGGGCTGTGCATTTGCTGTTGGACCACGAAGGCCATGGAGGAGCGCCGGCCCATCCCAGACGACGTGGACTTCAAGGACTGGATCGACGGTCGCCCCGATGACATGCCGGTGCGCACGACGCGCGCCCTGCCAGGACTCTGCCCAACCCAAGCCCCCGCGGCCTTCGCGCCCCTGGAGCAGCTCCTGGCCCCACTGGACGGCGAGTTGAACCCGCTCAACGCGGGCGCCACCCTACCAGCCAGCAGCGCGAACGATGACCGCCTGATCTCCAACTTCCACAAGGCCGACTTCGGCACATGGCGGCGCGCGACGGCTGCCCGCCTGGCACAGAGGGGCACAGCTGGCATCCTGGACAGCCATTCCCTGGCATGCACGGTCACGCCGCCGACCCTAGCTGAAGGTCTCCGCGCCGGCCTAACCCTGGTGCACGGGTTGCCGCCCGTCCAGCGAATGAGGGAGATGTTCCTGGCCAAGCGCTGGCGCGCAGGCTGGTGCTGCAAGGAATGCTTGATCCACCAATGGGACATGGCCCCGTCAGCAGTGAAGTGCGCGCTCGACAGGCACGGCCCTTTTGCATGCCCCGGCCCAGGCGCCAGACCCCCCCCGCGCTGCCAGGCACCCCCGCCGCCCCGGCGGGAAGCGCAGCGCGCCCCAGCCAGGGGGAAGTGCAACGGCGGGCCGCGGCCTGGGACAGGGAGGCGCGCGCCCACCAGGAGCGCCTTCGCGGCCCGCTGCCGCCCCCATCAGAGAACGAGCAGCAGCGCAACGCTTGGGCGAGGCAGATGACGGCCATGAAGATGCACGTAAAAGTCGCGGCGCAGATCAGGGGCCAGGGCGACGGAGGGACAGGCAGAAGCGGGCCCAAGCTCGCGGTCCCGGAGACCAGCGCGGCAGCCCCGCCAGCCCTGGAACGCGCGCCCAGCGGCGGGCCCCAGCAAGACAGCTGCCCCCGCGCGGAAGGACGCCACGACCACACCCTTGTCCAAGCAGACAGTGACAGCCCAAGACCCACCAAGGAACGACGCCTGACGCCCCCCGACTCACTCCCGCCTACGCCGCGGGGCAGCGAGCCAACCTCCGCTCCTCTCGCTGCGCGACCCACGGCGACCAAGTCCGTTGGGGCACAACCGGCCGCCAGCGCAACTCCTGATCCCCCCCTGGGCACGAAGGCCCCAACCGTCGCGAGCGACGGCAAGGGCGTGTCCCAGACGAACCCTTCCAGGACCCCGCCCGCCCAATCGCGACGGACCGCCCGAGCATCGAGGGCGGCGACTACGCTACTATCAGGAGCGGCGCCCTCCCTCGAGCAAGGTGTTTCAGATCAGCGCAGAGCACCGAACCCCTGTCCACGCAGCCCCTGGACGGAGCAATGTTCGGACCCATCCTCGACGTCGAGTCCCGCGACCAGGACGGGCGGACTCTGATCGCCCGGGCGTGGGGCGAATGGCTTGAGGTCTGGGGCGCCGGGCGGGACCAGGGCGCTACGCGTCGACGTCCTACGCGGCATTGCGGCGCGCCAAGCGGCCGCCTTTTTGGGCGGGGCCCCCGGCGAGGCGCACGCGCCGCAGGAGGCAACGGCCCCCGCCAGCTCCTGGCTCGGCGTCGACCCCGGGAGTGCCACAGCGGCGCCCGCGGAAGGGACGCAACCCAAGTCCAGGCCCGAATCTTGCGCGCCACCTACGGTCGCCCACGAGCCGCCGCCGCTCCTGCCCACCAAGGGGAAGATCCCCGACTACACCGACGACGGCCAGGAGGAGGAACAGAAGCAGAGGCTTGCAGAGGGCACAAGCATGGTCCACGTAGTCTCACCCCCCACAGGCCCTGACACACACGAGCAGGGCCAAACCGAAACGAGCCCGCGGGGGGCGCGACGCACCAGTCCCGAGCGCGACGCAAGCAGTACGCACCAGGACAGCCCAGCCAGCGCACCCACGGGACAGACCGTGCACGCGACGGCTGCCGCTGACGACCGCGCCCTGCACGCGCGGCCCAGAACCGCGGCCGCAGGAGCTGGGCGCGCCGCGCCCAGCCCCCGCCCTTCGGTCGAACACGGGCGCGAGCGAGGCAGGCCGTGGGTCCTCACCCCTTGGGAACTGCACGACAGCGCTGCACGGCGCGAGTCCAGAGGGCCCAGCGATCGGGCCCGTGCCAACGAGAGCGACCGTGACCGGAACCGCGACAGGGACAGGGGCGTAGGGCGTAGGGGGGGGCCCTGGCGCCAGCAGGACAGCGATCGGGACCGAGCCAGAGAGCGCAACCGCGATCACGACCGCGATCGTGACAGGAACATAGGATGGCCCCCTTGGCACCAGCAGAGCGACCGGCGCAACCCTCAGCACAGGGGCGATCGCCGCCATCCTGATCCCATCCGCCTCTGGTAAGCCCGCCGTGCCAGCTGGCCGCGGCGCGCGCGCGAGACGGCGGCCATTCACCTGAAGAGGCTGAAGGCCGAGGGGGGCTACCGCTTCACCGCAGCCTGGCACTCGCGGTGCAGGCATAGGTATCATAATCAGGGCAAGGGCAAGTCCAAGGGCCAGGTCATGTTCGACCCGGCCTGCTGGCAGCCCAAGATGATCGACGAGTTTCTTGAGGACATGACCAACAGCCGCCATCAAGTGGAGGCGCGGGCCCGGAACACTGGTGTCTACGTGGACTGGGAGCGAGCGCCTTGTCCCAGGAGTTCCAGAAGAAAAGGGAGGTAGCCAAGGGGGAAGGGCGCGGAGACGGCCAGGCGCGCAGTTCTGCGTGCACCGACAACTGGGCAGGGAAGCGCCCCAGGCGCTGACCAGCTCTGGCACCGGCCACCCCTGTCGGCGCACAGGGCGCCGCCCCCGACATCTCCTGATCCAGGCAGGCCCTTGGCCAGTGCGCGCAGCCAGCGCGCCGCTGACCAGACGCCCATCCTGATCCCCCCTGCCCCCCCCCACCCCCTCGCCAATGGGCCTACCTGATCCGGGCCGCCCGACTCCCTGCCCGGCAGGGCGGCGTCCGCTTCCCCCCCCCCCCCCCTCCTCTTCCTTTCAACTGGCCTTTGGGACCGTTAGCCCCCCCTGATCCCGCTGGGTGCCCTGATCCACCCGGCCGCCCCCTACCTCCTAAGCGGGGGCTGGCCCGCTGGGCTGGCCTTTCTCCTCCCTGTCCGCTTCTCCACTCCCCGCTCGCTACCCCCCCTCCCATGGCGACAGCGCCCGGCACTGCGCGGCTCCGGCCCGGTGCCGGGCGCCTGCTCCTTGCCGCCATGGCGGCCCCGCTGTTCTTGGCGCTGCGCGGCTCGGGCCCGCCCCTCGACACTGCGGATCGGCAGCGCAACGCGCTTGCCGGCGCAGGGCAGACTTTCTCCCTGCAACGCACCGGCATCCTGTCGGTCATCGACGGCAAGTTCACGGTTCGCCCGGCTGCCGTGTCTCAGGCTGCGGTTCCCCATGTCTGTGGAGTGGACTACCACGACTGGCACTCCTGGCATCACTCTGGTGGCACACCGTGGCTCTCCTACTTCGTGGTGCTCCTCTTCCTCTCGTGCGTCGACCTGGTCAAGTGGCGCGCCCCTCCCGCAGTGCGTGAGGCTGGTGTTCGCGAAGCGCCGCTGACGGCTACGCCACCGGCCCCTTTTTCCTCCCGGGACTTCACCATTGGGCCCCTGTCCAAGGTGTACCTTTTCCTGCACGTCCCGTTCGGCGCCGCCTGATCCCCGGGCCCCGCCCGCTTGGCCGCGTGAGGCCCCGCCTGCTCTCGCCCCCTCCCTGTCAATTAAAGCCGCGCGCGTCCTTTGGAGCTTTTAGCGGAAGAGGCTCGCTCTCGCCCTGCAGATCAAAACTGTTTGCTTCGCTGCCCCGTTCTTATTTCCTCCCCTCTGGGTGCCTGTGCTCGGAGCGATCCTAGTCTTTTTAACCCTCCGCTGCCTTGGCGGGCATGAGAGTGTTCAGATGGGTAGCGCTGCGCTGCCGGAAGAAGAGAATCGATAATAATCCATCCGTCGCGAGGAGGACGCCCCAAAATGTCCAACATACTTACATTTACGACCAAACATACGCGTTCTCTTCGCCTCACCACGCCGCGCGCGTGCGCGTGCCGGCTTCAGGAGGCCAAGCGGATCCGCAACGCGGATAAGATGCGCCACGCCCTCTCGAGGTCGCGCCCCGCAACCGCCGTCGTGTTCGGAGGCGTGGGGGCGAGGGTCTGGGAGGGAAGCGCAGGCGGGAGTGCGGGGAGGGAGGGCGGACGCAGGAAAAGTAGGATGTAGCCGCGGGAAAAGGAGCAGGAGGGAAGCGGGAGGAGAAGGAGGCAGTGGGGGGAATGATGAGCGGGAGGGATATTGGTGGGTGGAGCTTTGTTGGTTGGTCGGTGCCCCCCTTGGCGGGGTGGCGTGCGGAACCCCCCCGGCGTGGCCTCCTTCTGGCAGGGGCCCGCGCGCCCGAGAGCGCGAGCGCAGGCGACCCCCTGCAGCCCCGCTGCAGAGGCCCACAGGGAGGTGCCGCGGCCCAGACCGTGCCAGGGGCGGCCAGGAGGGCGACTCCTCCGCCAGGGGGGGCAGGCCACGCGGGGCCGCCGCCTGAGCGCACGGCTGCCGAACGCTGGTCAGCGGCGAACGAGGGGGGACACTGAGAAGGAGGAGGCCGTCTCAGAAGGCGGCGGGACTTCTCAGAAACCCTCGCGCCTTCTGAGAACTGTTGCTTGCCTTCGTGGAAGGCTGAGGAAACTTCTCAGACGACTGGGGGGGCTTCGGGGCCTTCTGGCAAAGGTCCGCCCCTTCTCACTTCCCCCCTTGCTCGCCGCCGAGCTGGGCGAGGGTCGGTTGGTGGACAGGGGGGAGGCGAGGCGATCTCAGCGTCTGCCCACAGGGCTGCTGCAACAGGTTGCTGGGCCATTTGGGGGCCCAGCGGTCCAGGGTGTGCCTGCCCGCGGCGCTCGCAGGCCAGCACGGGACAGTGGCCGCCCCTCCTCTTGGCCCTCGACAGGCGGTGCACGCGGCAGTCTGTTTAGCAGGGACCGAGACGCGGTCGGACAGGCGAAACCAGCCACGGCTACGCCGGCCCCTCGATTAGCGAGAGGGGGGAGGGGCGAGGGAGGAGGAACGCGAGGGGAAGGAGGCGCGAGAAGGGAGCAGCGAGGACGGAGGAGGGAGTCAGGAGCAGAGGAGGGACGCAGGAGGGTGGATGAGGAGGATCATGTGGCGGAGGATGAGGAGGAGGAGGAGGAGGAGGAGGAGGAGGAGGAGGAGGAGGAGGAGGAGGAGGAGGAGGAGGAGGGAGGGAGAGAGGGAGGGAGAACATCGCAGGAAAAGAAGAGACATGAAGCACGCACGACAGACGAGAGACGAGGAGGATGCAGGAGGGGGAATAGGGAAGAAGGGAAGGAAGATGAGAAGGACGAATAGGAGAAGGTGGTGGAGGAGGAGGAGGAGGAGGAGGAGGCAGAGTAGGAGGATGAGGAGGAGAAGGAGGAGGAGGTGGAGGGGGAAGAGAACGATAAGGACGAGGAGGAGGAGGACGAAGAGGATAACGAGAGTGACCTGCGATGCGAACTGTCCGCGCCAGGGCGAAGGCGGCGGGCGTGACCAGCAAGCAGCTTGAGGAGGCCAGCCCTTCCTCCTCGTCGTCCTGGTCCCTCCTATTCCGTTGAGGAGGAATGGCCTCCTTCTTGTTTCAGTTTCTCATGTTCCTCCTCGTTCTCCCGGCTGCTCCTCCTTGAGCCCTCGAGTTTTTTTTAAACAACAGCTCATCCTGAAAGGGGGGAGACGATGAGCACGGGGAGGGGTGGATGGTAAGGTCGACGCACGACCTTGATGCCACCAGCCAGCCCCCGAACGGAGAGGGGTGAGAGGAAAAGGAGGATGAGGCGGAGGAGGAGGAAACGGAGGAGGCGGAGGAAGCGGATCATGAGTAGGATGTGCACGGGGAGCACGGGGAGGAGGAGAAGGGTCCTCCCACCCTCCCAGCCCTTCGTCCTTCCCTTATCCCCCCTTCTTCAATTGTCTTGTTCCCTCCCCCCGCCGCTCTCCCGCTACTCTACCTCCACTTCTCCCTCCCCTCCGCTCTGCTCCGCTCCGCTCCGCCATGACCTTCTCCCATGCGGTTCTGGCAGCTTTGCTGTTAAGGCCCAGTCAAATGACCCCCCCCTTTTGTTTGATTATGTGCGTCGCCCGTGCGCCGGCCCTGGTTTACGTTTTCTGTCCTTAATCCCACCCAGGGTGCGCGGGCGACATATGGCGCGACGTCTGGTTTTCGTTGGCGACACATTGGCTGCCCATGCTGGTGCAACAGCAGCCAGCTTTGCAGTCGTGGCGCATTGTAGTTCGATGATCCACCGACGCGCTATGTTTCCCACCCGCGCGCAAAATCATTCGCCAGTGCGTCGTTCCAGGGAATGCGAACCGTAACTGAGGACGGAGACGCGACGCGTTCATTGGGGTCTGTGCGCGTCGTGCCATGACATGGTCGCGTCGCGTCGTGCGACGCGGCGCCATTTCGCCCTGCGCCCCGCCCTCCAATGTCGGTTCGCGCCCCTCCACTTGCCGCCTCCCTCGTCCTCGTCGAACGTACTGCGAGGCTGGTCCTTTGTGCGAATACGTCGTTTGTTTAATCAGGTTCCCGTCCTCTCCCCCTCCCTACTCTCCCCCCTTGTCCTTCCACCCTCCTGAAACCTTTTTGTTCGCCCTCCTCATTTCCGCCGCCTCCCTTCGATCGCCTCCTATCTCCCCCGCCGCCGCTACGCCGTCCCCGCCTGCCCCCTCCTCGCCCCTCCGTTCCCCGTTCCCTGGCTCTCCCCGCCTCGCTTCCCCCCCTCTTTCTTCCCTCAATGATGCATCGGCGGGCGAGACGTCGCTGTGCTGCTTCCGGTGAGTGATGATGAATCATTGTTATCATTTTGCCGCGCTGCGCGCTTCCAGTCGGTTCTTCCGCGCGCTGTGCAAGTCTATGTCGTCAGCTGGTCTTTTCGTGCCCGCAGTTTTCGCGTAAGTGCTTCGCTCTTTTTGTGACTTGAGTGCGCATTCCTGAGTTGTTTCGCCAGCGAGCCGAGGAGTTCACATGCTGTAGAAATTGCACAGCGCCCTTCAGCGATTCGCCGCGACTTTTCGCTCGACTCACCAGCGACTCGAGCGACGCGCGCGCGACGCACGCGCAACGCCCCCGCGATGCGCGCACTACGCATTCCGACCCGCGCGCGACGCACCCCCGCCGGCGCGCGACGCACGATCGACCCGCGCGATGCGCTCGCGACGCACGCGCGCGCGACGCACGCGTGACGCACCTCCGCCTCGCGCCCGACGCACGCGCGCTTCACGCACTTCACGCGCTTCCCGCGCGACGCCCGCGCGACGCACGCGCGTCGCATGCGCGAAGCGCTCTCGACCTTGCGCGCTCTGGCTGTGCCCCAGACTGCACTGCGCAACGGCCGTCGGCGTGCTGTACTCGCGCTGCTCACGAGTGGCAGCGGCTGCGTCTGCAATTGCGTTGGGAACGACGGTATCTCGCCCTTTTTCTTCCCCCCTTCTCCTTCCTCACTCTCCCTCCTCCTTCGTCCTTCCTCCGTCGTCCCCCCTCCTTCCCTCTTTTCCCTAACTCCTCCCCCCCTCCTCCTTCTCCTCCTCCCCCTCCTCCTCCTCCTCCTCCTTCTCCTCCTCCTCCTCCTCTTGCTCCTACTTATCCTCCTCCTCCTCCTCCTGCTTCTCCTCCTCCTCCTTTTTTTCTCCTCCTCCCTCTGCCCTTCCCCCTCCCTCCTCCCTCGTCATCCCTTTCTTCCCCTCGCAATTCCCTCTCTTCCTTCATGTTCTTTCTTCTCCTTCGGGTGCGGCCGCGAGCGGGGCCCCCGCCTTCAGCGAAGGGCCCCGGTGCTGGTGGAGGAAAAAGTGAACTGCGAGGAGGAAAAAACGGGGGGATGGAGCAGGGACACGAGGCGAACGCGGCAGCAGGGGCGGCCGGGAAGGGGAAACTGAGAAACAGGGGGGAGGAGGGAGGGGGCGGGGGCTGTTGTAATGGTCCGGTTGGTGATCGTGGTCGTGGTCGTGGATGTCGTGGTGGTGTATCTTGTGGTGGTCGTGCTGCTGAAGGTGGTGGTCACACTGGTGATCGTGCCTGCGTCGGTCGTGGTGGTGGTCGCGAGAATCGTGGTGGTCGTGGTGGTGGTCGCTGGTGGTGGTGGTCGTCATCGTCGCGTCGGTCGTGGTTGCGGTCGCGGCTGCTGGTAATGATCGTGGTGGTGGTAGTCATGGTGCTGGCGGCGGCCGCGGTGAACTTGACGGCGGCAGCGGGGACCTGTTTGTCTGGCGCCAGAGTGCGTTCAGCAACATCATGGCACTACCAGTTTATAGGGATATGCTAATCTGCCGAGGTCGCCCAGCCACCACACCCTCACCAAAAGACGCGTTGCGAGGGCGACCTGCTTTTTCCAGACGGCGAGCGGCCTCTTCGGCGGGCGTCAAACGAGCGATGCGCGGGCGATCCGCCTCGTGGGTGCCCGCTAAGCGGGCGGCGCACTCACCGAAGGACCCCCTTGCGAAGGCGACTTGCACGCTCGCGATGATGGCCGGCCTTCTCGGCGGCCGACTCGCGGGCGACGCATGCGCGACGCACCCTTTGTGGCGAACTCTGGGAGGGGTCAGCACGCTGGTCGCTGAACTGGGCCTTAGCAAGCTCTGCTCTCCTCATCTTGCTCCTCCCTCGCCCCCCCTTCCCACCCTGTTTTTGTTCCCCCCCTCCCCTTCCTCTCTCCGCCCCCCCTTCCCATCGCCCCCCTCTCCCTTCCGCCGCGTCGCCGCGAGGCCCACCGCCCCGGCGCTCGAGCCGTGCCTTCGGTCGGGCCGGTGGCCGCCATGGCGGCTTCGACCCGTCCTCGTCCCCGTCGCGCCCCCCTGCCGCCCTGGGGTTCGGCCTCCGCCGAAGGCGCTCGGCTTCTCCGCGCGGCGGCGGCCGGCCCTGTCGGCTACGCGCAGGAGAGGCTTTTCGCCAGAGGGGCCTTTGGTGCGGGCACAGCGGGGCCCTTTACTCTCAGAGCCCCGAATCATCAGGGGTAACTCGGGTCAGGGATAACTCGGGTTCCTTTTTCGGGAATCCAAACCCGAGTTACCCCGGACCCGAGTTACCCCGGATAACTCGGGCGTCCAGAGCCCCGAATCATCAGGGATAACTCGGGTCAGGGCTAACTCGGGTTCCTTTTTCGGGAATCCAAACCCGAGTTACCCCGGACCCGAGTTACCCCGGATAACTCGGGCGCCCAATACTCCACGCGATGCGATGGCAGCGTCTTGCGCGCTCGGATTTGACCTCCCCGCGGCCCCCGAACGTCGCGCACCAAATGCCACTTTTGCATGGGGCTCATGCCTGCGTGTGGCCGACCCTCACCCGGGGCTCGGTTGCAGGGAGTTCGGCCGCCTCCACTGCTGAGCAGGCGGCGCCCAGGCCGTCACAGGTGCGCCGTCGCCACCATGGCGTGGGTCGCGCGTGCTCCTCCTGGGCCACGGCCTCCGCGCATGCGCTCGGCGCTGGCTGTCGCGCCCTCCTCCGCGGCCGTGTTCACGGCCTTCCCCAGGCTGGCGGCCTCTGTACCGCGCTCGGCCGCTACGTCGATTGAGGTGCAGGACCCACCCTCCACATGCCTCCTCATCCTCATCCTGCCCTTTCTCCTCATCATCCTGATCCTCCCTTCCTTCCTCCTCGCTAGTGAGGCTGATCCTCGCTCTTTCTCCTCCTCCTCCTCCTCCTCCTCCTCCTCCTCCTCCTCCTCTCCCCTCTTTCTCTCCCTCCCTCTCTATCTCTCTCTCTCTCGCTATTTCTCTTCTCCTCCTCCTGTGCTCCGGGCGCGCGCCCAGTACAACGAGTTCCTGAAGCAGCTGGATATGGAGACGCTGCTGGTCGTGGCCACGCACAGGGCCCCGCCGGGAAGCCGGAGGGCACGCCTCTCTTCGGGAGCACCGTTCGACTCTCTTCTCTCTTCCTCGCCTGCCCCTCGTCCCCTCCCCTCCCCCCCCCTTGTCGTAAAGTCCGCTTACGACGCGCGCCACTCCCTGTTGTCACGATAGCGGTCGGTGTCCGTGCTCTCGGACGCCGCTCCTGGCTCGCCCGCTCGCTCTTCGGCCTTTCTCTTCTCTTCCGGTGCCATGCTCGACCGGACACCCTCCTTCCCCTCTCCTCCTCCTCCTCCTCCTCCTCCCCCTCCTCCTCCTCCTCCTCCTCCTCCTCCTCCTCCTCCTCCTCCTCCTCCTCCTCCTCTTCCTCCTCCGCACGGGCCAGCCGAAGAACCCCCTGAGAGGGGGGGTCCGTGGTTCTTCCGCTCTTCACTGGCACGCCAGCCTTGCCTCCGACACGGCTTCTCCTCCTTCTCCCCCCCTCATACGTTTTGCTTCTCACTTTTCCTTCCTGATCCCTCATCGCCCCTCCTTCTCCTCCTCCTCCTCCTCCCCTGCCCTTCCGTCTTCCCGTCAAACTCATCGAATTTGGCTGCTTGCAAGCGCGAGCTCAACAGCAGCGCGAGGGAGCGTTAGACCTGGTCAGGGTGTTTGGGGTGTTTCTTCTGCGCGGCTGCGCGCGAAGCGGTGGTTCTTTTTGGTACAAGTACCGCCATATCGCCGCAATGTCGCATTGCTGGGCGCGGCTGCATTATGCCGGGTTGGCATGGCACCCTCATTGGCCAGAGGGCCGTGTTCGATGATCGATGATCGGGCCGCGACGGCGATGGCGGCAGACCGTGCGAATGCGCTCATTGCGCGCGCCATGAATTGATGCTGGTGCCTCGCCCCTTTCCCGCTTGGATCTACTGTGCAGTGGCAAGCCGTCGCACACCAGAGTCTTTGGCACCCTGACCCGTTCTATGTCTGCTGTGGGGTCGCGACGTGGGATGCTCGGCGCGAGCGCGGGCGCGGATCTTCGATCCGGGTGGGGCCTCAACACAGGTTTCATCGTTAATGCTTGGGCCCGCCACGAACGCCGAGATCTCGAGGGCATGCGCGAACTCCCTGGTGCCGACTCGTTTACTGAGGCCTCGGGCAGGGTCGTCGCGGGCTTGCCGCGGGCCGAGGCAAACTCGCGGTCGCGGCAAATTTGAGGCCGTGCGCTTCAAGGCCGTGCTATTGCTTCTGCCGTCGAGTTGCAGCTGCCCTCGGGTGCTGCGGCACTCGCGCCGTCGGCGCAGGATGATGCTGCGACCTGACACCACCCTTCACCCATCTTCGCGCAATATCGCCACGTGGGGGGGGAGACGAATACGCGGGTGTTTCTCTCGCGCACGCTCAGTGATTTCAGCGCGCGTGCGCCAGTGCCTGCTCCGCCTGGAGGCATCGCTGAGGTGTAAATTCTGAGCCAGGAAAGAATCATGGAGTAATTCCAGCTAGTTGTAGATACCCGATAGTGTTCTATCTAATTGAACGAGGCTCGGGGAGGCGTGTCCACGGGGGGTTGTCTGGGGGGTTGTCCTGATCCTTGTGGGGTTGCCCAAGGGATTGTCTGGGTCGCGCTGTCTTGCCAGCACGTTCGCATGCCATTATCACACCTACCATCAAATGCATAGCACATCGAGGGAAGTCCAGCTTGAAAAATGTCGCCTCTCTTCCCCCCTTCCCCTCCTGTCCGTTCCTCGTCTATCGCACCCCCTTTCCGCTCCGGTTCGCGCGCCTTCCTTTAGCGCGCTTGCCCAAACAGATGTGCTGACTGGGGTCCCGTTGCGGTAGAACCTAGTTCTTGGTCAAGGGGCCTGCGCTCAAAGACATCCGCTAACATCGGGGGTGGTCTGGCCAGTTTCGCCAGAGACGTCCGCGTAACTCTGGGTTCGGAGATGCTCTGAACTGAGGTGGTCTGGCCAGTTGGCTTGACACATTCTCGCAACTCATCCAGAAACGATGTCCAGACGAGTTGAGGTGAACAGGGAAGTGCGGGGGCAAAGAGGGGGACGGCCGAACCGTGCGAAGGAAGGAAGAGGAGAAGGAGGAGGTTGGATTGATGGATGAGGGAGTGGGGAGAAGGAGGATGAATAGGATGATGACGAGGAGGAGGAGGAGGAGGAAGAGGAGGAAGAAGAGAAAGAGTAGGAGGAGGAAGGAGGAGCAGGAGGAGGGTAAGCAGAAGGGCCAGAGGTCTTTTGGATGCCTCTCGGAGCCTCTATATATCTCTTGAGCGCTTCTTGGTGGCCTCTTGGGACTTCTTGGGGGTCTCTTGGCGGTCCTGGGGGGGCTCTTGGACGTCTTGGGTGCCTCCTGGGGGCCTCTTGTGGGCCTCTTGGGGCCATCGTGAGGCCTCTTGGGGCCTCCTGGGCGCTTCTTGGGGCCATCTTGGAGGACATCGATCAAAGAAGGGGGGAGCTCGTGTTAGCGTTGCCCCCCCGCCCCCCCAGGAGGCCAAAATGGAGCCACAACTCTGAGTAAAACCAATGATTGTGGCTTCCTCGCCGCGTCTGTTTTGGACGCCCTGACCGCTCGCGGAAACCCCCTGTCCAGGTCCAGGGGAGGGGGTAGGGCGCAGGGGTAAACCCCTCCCGAAGGGGAAGAAGGTGAATGGAAGAGGAAACTCCCTAAACCACCTACGGCCAGAGGGCTGGTGGGTTTCTGGGCTCGGAACTGCTGACGTCCCCGCGTCTCTGCGTTCGGAGATGCAGCGCGCGAGGTGGTCCAGCCAGTTCCGCCAGAGACGTCTGGGATCGGAGATACAGCGCACGAGGTGTCTCAGCCAGTTTCGCCAGAGGCATTCTCGCAACTCTTGGTTCAGAGATTCCGCGTGACATGTTCCGGCCAGTTTCGCCTGAGACATTCTCGCAATTCTGGGCTCAAAGATACCCTGACCTGAGGTGGTCCAGACCGTTCCTTCTGAGACGTCTTCAGATGCTGTGCGAGAGATTGTCTGGCCAGTTTCGCTTGGGACGCCCTCGCATGTCTGGGCTCGGAGATGCAGCGTGCGCGGCCAGTGTCGCCTGAGACGTATTTCTGGGCTCCGATATGACCTGACCTGCGGTGGTCCATCCAGGTTCGGTTGCGACATGCCGTGCACAAAGTGATACAGCCAGTTTCGCCTGAGACGTCCTTTTGTTTCTGGCCTCGAAGATGCACTGCGCGCGGCCAGCGTTGTCTGAGTCATGTTCGCAACTCTTCGCACCGAGATGCCCTCATCTCAGTGGTTCGTCCAGTTTCGCCTGAAACATTCTCGCAACTTCTGCCGCCGAACTGTCGCTCGAAAAGGTTGTCTGACACGTGCCGCCAGAGACATTCTCGCATTTCTGGGCTCGGAGATGCTGCGCGAGAGGTGGTCTCACCAGTCTCGTATGAGACATCATCGCAACTCTGGGTACCGAGATGCCTCGCGTAAGAGTTGGTTCAGCCCCGCCTGGGATCCTCGCAACTGGGACCAACGACGCCGCGCGCGATGTGGTCTGGCTGGTTTCGTTTGAGACATTTCTCGCAACTCTGGGTTCCGAGATGCCTCGCGCGAGGTGGTCCAGCCAGTTTCGCCAGTGGGGCTGCTAGGGCTGTCAGGAGGCACGCAAGGAAGCTCACTCCAAGCGTGCCCGCTCGCTTGCGGCGCGCGTTGCCTTGTCCACGTTGCGCCCCAATTCGGATTGTGCCAGTTCTAGATTGTGCATGAAGGAGCGGCTGCTGGCGCGCGGGCAGGCGCTACTCCTTCTCGGTGAAGTATTCCTCGCTGGGGGCAGCGCGGCAGGTTTTTCAAGTCTCGCTGCGCAGCGTCGCGCGCAGCTCCCGAGGCCCCTGATTGACTGGCGCCTTGCCAGGCGCCCGCGGATGCGCGGTGCGCCTGTTGCCCGCTCGCGAAGAACCGCCAATTTGGATTGCTCGAGACGAGAAGGCCGGTCACGTCGACTACGCCTGCCGAGAAGTGTCTCGCGCGCGGCATCGCTTGCCCTGGACCGACAGGCCGTATGCGCACGGGAAGGGAAGCGTGGGATTGCATGCTCTTGTTTCCGCCAGGCCAGCGGTCAAATCGAAGCTTGGGCGCTCCAGGTAGACTTGGGTGCTGCACGCGAGAACGAGCTCGTCGCCATTCGTTGACAGATGGTCTGGCGCAGCGAGATTTAAGCTGATCCGTGGACGGCGGGCCACAGTGCAGTACCTCGGCTGCTCCGCCGATACCATTTTGAAACATTCGCCCGCTGCGGCATGTCGCGTCGGGCGTATGGTGGGTTGCAAAGGACACGTTGCTTTCAAGTGTCGTTTTGAGGGGGGACGCTTGCGCGCGGAGAAGGCGGGGCCGCGCACGGCCGACGCGAAGAGGAAACTGGATGAGGACGACGCAACGCGTGAGGAATACACGCGCTGGCGAGAAATTAGCACCAGGAAAAACGGGTGGATGTGAAGGGGCACTGCGAACCAGAAGAGGGGAAGGGGCCGAACCATGCACCGGAAAATGGGAAGGGTTTGCCCAGGGGGTTGTCTAAGGGGTTGTCCACGGGTTGTCCAGGGGTTGTCCGGGGGTTGTCCAGCTTCAATTTCCTCCTCCCCCTCTTTCTCTTCGTTTTTCTCCTGCTGATGTTCCTCCTCCTCCCGCGCGGGAACAGCGTCAACGATCGTCACGGCCAATTTCGCATGGTGCGCCGTGCGCGTGCCAAGTCGCGCGGGAACCGAGTCAGATACCACCGTTCCGAGGGCTTCCACGTTGTGCCGCATGCGAACCGTGTCGTTCAGGAGGTGATCCAGACACCGATGCGTCGAGGAACACCACGGCGCGCCGCGCGTGAGTTGCTTCGCACGGGGGCCCATTTGGGGACCGCCGCCGCAGAAGTCACAATGGCGCGCCCGCAAAGGAACGACTTCAGGGGCCGCGGCCACCGGAGCCTTTAGCACACCGCGCGAAATCCCACTCGCACATGGAACTTGCCAGCGGCTGTCACACCACAGCCGCTGTTGATGCAATCGCCACAACGATCTCCCCCTCT